TGGACATTTACAAGTTTTGTTTGTGTTTAGGCCAGCTATGCTGAGAGGACTGGAATTTGGGAGTTGTAGGATCTGCTGCTTTTAAGATCTAGGGTCTGCTTTTAAGTTGAGTTGGTAGGAAAGGGTTTTGCTTGAGGTTTCCAACCTAGAGAGTTGAGTAGTAGTGTCTACATAACACCCTACTTCAGAAAGCTTACATAAGCCTCATAAAGTCAGAGGTCTTTCCCTTCCCAAGAATTAGCAGTCCGGAAGATTTCTCTGGAACCATCTGTCCTAGGAGCCAAACCCTTTGCGGGGTGCCTAGAGGTTCACAGAGAAAAGAGATACCTTGGTTCAGGGACCCCCTTCCCCATCAATCTGATGGGGGATATAGACCATACCCTAGAGGATCCCCCTTGTCTAATGAAAAAGACAGGCTGTCACTCCCAGTGTCACCAATGAGCCCCAGCTAAAATAATAGACCCAAGGTACAAGGAAGATGCAGAGAAGAAGGGGTTACAAGATGACAGAGCAAACAGGAAAATAAAGAAGATGGAGATTTACAGCAGGGATGGGAAATGGAATGGCCTGTATGAGATGCAAAGCAGACATGTGGCTCAGAGAATATGAATGAAGATACTTCCCAGAACAAAGTCTGAAGAGGGCCATTCTAGAGGGAGGTATTGCAAGAAATAGAGGGAAAAGGCATAATGTTTCTTGGAGACTGTGATGTGAGAGGGTCTCATCTGATGTCAACATGAGTGTCTGGGAAGGGAAGGGGCACAATCAATCTGAAGATTTACGATGACAATTTCAATGATTATTCCACAGTGGCAAAAATGGAGGGAATGAAGGAATGAGAGTCAGAGAGGCAATTAAGGAGGCTGCTGCGGGCACCTAGGCCAAGCTAATCGGTAGATAAAGGAAGAGGAAGGCTGGGAAAAGTTGTGGGGGAAACCTGAACAGAGAGAGGAACAGAAAAGAGGAGGAGGGGAAGAGAGACTGGCAGCACAGTGGGGGGAAAGGGAAGTTGTCTTGGACGAAAGAGAAAGTTGCTGAGAATAGGAAAAGAGACTATTTTGGGGAATCTTGACAGCTCGGTTCACATTTATTGAATTGAAATTGAAGACAGATATCTGCCTGGAAGAAACCCATAGAAAGAAAAGGTTATAGGTGTAGAGACCTGGCCTCAGGAGGTGGCCAGCCTATTGGAATAACCAGCTTGTAGGAATAAAGACAGAAGTCACATGTTACTCTTCTTTACAATTCCCCCATCATCCCCAACTCTAGAAGAGTGCGCTGCACCAAGATCAAGAGGAGGAGGATAAAGAGCTACCACAGAACCTCAGAAACCACCATGGAAGGCTTGGACAAGGCCCAGGACCCTAGGAAGATGTAAAGAGCTACCACAGAACCTCAGAAACCACCACCATGTAAGGCTTGGACAAGGCCCAGGACCCTGGGAAGATATAAGGATACAGTCAGAGAGCAGGAAATACGCTAAGTGCAAGCAAGTTAAACTTTACTTTCTACATGCTAAGAAACCCTGATGGCATCGTGGTTAAGCACTCAATTATAAACCAAAAGTTTGGTGGTTCAAACCCACTAGCTATTCCTTAGGAGAAAGATGTAGCAATTGGCTTCCATAAATATAGTTGTTGTTGCTAAGTGCCCTCGTCGAGTCTGTTCTGACTCATAGTGACCCTGTATAGGGTTTCTGAGGGGCAGTTGCTGAGTTTGAACCGCCGTCCTTGTGGTTCAAATTGTGGTCGAGCACTTATCCTACAGCCTTGAAAACCCTATAGGCAGTTCTATTCTGTTGGAATTAACTTGGTGGCAAGGGGGTTAGCTTTTGGTGTTCTACTCGCTAAAATTTATTTTTAGTCTTCACAACTATTGTTAGCCCCATTATAAAGATGAGGTGACTTGGGAAGTAAAACCAGGATTGAAACCTAACCAGTTTGGCTACAAAACCATGCTCTTATACTTAAGACCTATCAGGTAATTCCCTTGACACCCAGAGCAGACAGGAGCCCTGGAGCAGTCTCTAAGCCCCTGAGCATGGCAGCTCTTCTCTATGGCCTTAATGATGGGCTTCTTTGTGGTGGTGGTGGTGGTGGTGGGGGTTGGGGTGGAGAAGGTGGGCTTATAAAATTCCAGATGACATTCCTTTGATGGGAAGTGCTTCCTGAAATCTAACTTAAATTATTCCAATAGCAGAAGGCCATTTCCCTAGGTCTTCTGCTATTGGAAGAGCTTCAGAATGGCCACACATGCCATTTCCATGTTATACAGTTTTTAAAGGCTTGAAATCCTAATTCATATCTCTCAACCCCTGCTTCTCCAGTCTCTTTCTCCAAACTACACAGTTCCGTCCTTCCTTCTCTCCCACATTCCAGAGCCAGTCCCTCCCTTCTCCCACCACCTCAAATCCAGGCTCCAGGCTGTCAGACACCCACAGAAAGGTTTTTCCCACAATTCCTTTCTCTTTGCCCTTTCAAGATTCTGATGGGGGGAGGGGATGAAGAGGGGCCACCCAGGATGCACTCTTCCCATGAAGAATGGTAGCAACTCCAGTGAAAAAGGGGCAACATTGGACTCAGCCTGTGGGAGAAACAGTGTAATTTGGTAAACGTGAAAAGCTCTCATTTCTGGGAGTTGCCCCAACCAACAACCCTTCACTGGGTACTAAAACCTTGGGATCCCAGATCACTCCTTCCTCTCCCTCCAGTCTGATCTCAGTGGTATGCCTTGGATCTCACTTCTTTCTGTTCCCTTCCAGGGCCTCACTGCCACCCTACACAGCTTGGCCCCAGCCTGGACAGTAGCACTGACCAGTTAGGCAAGAGAAGAATCTAGGCCGGGAAAGGGCGGGGGAGTGAGAGTGGAGGTTTTTCCCTTCCATCCTAAATAGCCTTTGGCAAAAAAGGTTTAGGGGCTCTGGTGCCCAATGTCTTTTCATCTCCCACCATGTGCTTCTCAAGTGCAGAAACCAAATATTTGCTTGAAAACCCAGGAGCCTCCTTGTTGCATGCCCCCCACCCCACACCAGAGCCCTAAACTCTTCATCCCACCAATTCCATGATGACCCTAGAGGATTCTTTCTGAATCCATCTAGCTGGAAGTGCCCCAGCATCTCTGATCCTTAGAGAGGACAAAGGAAGGAAGGCCCCTGGGTCTTCTACCAGCCCCTCTCCTTCTGGTCCAAGCCAAGCTCCTGAACAAAGCCGGAGCTGTAAAAGAGCTCATGCACAATGGTGCAGGTAGGGAACACAAGGCATGGTTCAGAGACGTGGTGGAGGATGCCAGTGGGCAGACAACGAATTCCTCCAGCAACAAACATGTCCCCATAGACTGGGTATGGGTAGATTTGAGACAGAGATGTCTTTTCCTCAGGGTAGAGACAGCAGTGCGATTCTGTGCTAGAGCCACAGAAGGAATGGGACCCTAACCCTGCTACACCCACACATACACACACACACACTCAGTGGAGTCATTGCCATTTGATACCCACAGAGACAAGTTGGCTGCTCCAGCTCTGGGGTGGGGGGTGGGGGGATGGCTCAGAAAACAGCAGTTCCTTTCAGGACCCAGATTGGCAAGGGCTTTGGGAGGCTGGACTGGCCCAGATCAGCCCCCAACGCCCCCTCCCTCCTTCCCTCACCACCACCACTACCAAAGGACTGTAGGGGGGGTGGGCGGGGAAAAGGGAGTTGGCACTGCCTGGGCCATGCCTATTGCCTCTGTAGACTAGCCCTGGCCCCTCTTCCTGGCATGATGCCTCCAGTCCTCCTCCTCCTGTTTCTTCCTCCCTGGAGAACCAGCTCTGAGCCAGGACACCTGTTCCTTCTAGACTTGGTCTCCCACCTACACTCTGAGGAATTAGCAAGTTCAACCCCTCACCATGGAATAATGCCCACTATCATACTAGGAACATGTTTGGAACTCCTTGGAGATTTTTCAGGAGGAAACCAAAGGAGCTCTGGTGGATGCTGGCCATCTCCTGCGGCTTGTGTCTTGATACCCACTCCAGCTCTCTTCAGCACCCCACCAGGGAACACCCTTCACAGAGGGTACCACATGGCTCATCAACATATCCCTGCCTGTCAGAACTACGGAAACCAGTCCCAGCAGGGGCAGTTGGGGTAGGGGATATTCAAATACTATAGCAAGAGCAGACTGCCCAAAACTCTTTAGTCAGAATTTGTATTGATAAGCAACTCCATCAGACTTTAAGACCTGACCTTAAATTTGGGTCCAAATTTGTCCTGGCTTCACCACTCCTGTGTCCCCATCTGCCTCCCCCTGCCTGTGAGATTTCATTTACTGGAATGAAATCTCGAGACCCCAAAGGCCCCTCTCCCAATTTCTCCCAGTCTGGGGTTCCGGGTTGTCCCCAGATCAGGGAGTTGCAACCATCTCTTTCCTAATTCAGGTCCCCTCTCTCCATTCCCGGTGAAGGGAGGAGGCCCTAATCTAGTGGGTCTGTCCTTCCTACTGCCAATGCTTTCCTCCTGGGGGTCTCGGTGTGAAACAGCTTGAAGAGGGGGATAGCTGTGATGAAGGGTCTTGAAATAGGAGCCAAGTCCAAATGGAGGAAAGAGCCTGGGGCAGGGGGCGCTGTGTTCCCCTAGGTGAACAAATGATCTATGGATGACAGTGTGTGCCATGGTGTGGGGAGGGGAAGGGGCTGGGCATGGGAGTGGGAGTAACCTGGGGCTACTGGAGGAGGGGGCGAGCCCTGAAGTCCTGTGTGTACTTGCTGGAGGAGCTATGAAGCAATACAGTGCAAGGGGGCAGCAGGGAAGCTCCCTCCCTAGTTAGTCTAGAGGACTGATGTAACCTGCCTAGGTAATGTTCCCTTCAGGGAAAGGGTCTCTTTGGGGCGGGAAGCCGGAGAACAGGGTGATACAGTTGAAAGCAGTCAGATCAAGGAGGTGTGGACCCCCGATGTCTCCGGAAGGTGAAGTGGACAGGACCCCGGCCGGGGTGGCAGCACTCCTTCAGGGCCAGAGTCTTACCTTAAGTCCAGGGTAAAGTGTCCCCTCAGTTGGGCCGCGGGGCAGCGGGACCGACGGACGGACGGGGAGGCCAGGAATAAGGAACGGAGTCGTGCGACCGGCAGGGCCGAGACTCTTAAACCCCGAGCTGGGATCAGATAAGGGCTGGGCCGGGGCCGGGGCCGGGGTCGGGCCGGCCGGGGGCAGAGCTGGGCCGGGTCGGGCCGCCCCCTCCCTCCGCAGCGCCTGAGCCAAACTTTGATGTGAATGGAGGGGGGCGGAGGGGGGCCCGGCGGGGCAGGGGCGGAGGGCTCTGGACCAACCAATGGCAGAGTGGAGCGCCAGGCCCGACTCACGGGGATTGGAGGGATGGGCAGGGGGTGGGGCGCAGGGGGCAAGGAAGCGAAGACCCAGACGGGTGGAAACTCTGGACGAGAGAAACACCCAAAGACAGAGACCCAGACAGACCCAGGGAGAAAGAGAGATGAAAAGTTACGCGACGCTATAGAAGTTGAGCAGACAAGATAGCATGGGAAGAAAGAAGGAAGAAAAGGCAGGCAGTCCTGTCGGAATTGGGGAAGGAGAGAGGAACCGCGGGGGCGGGACTCTGCGGAGTTAATGAGGTGGAAATCAATTCCCTACGGGCTCTATAGCCCTACTGGCAGCGCCTACGAGGGAGACTGAGAGGACTGGGGCTGGGCTGAGGGAGGAGGGTTCAGAGCTGTATCCTTCAAGGCTTTTGCAGTGTTATTCACCGTTTCCTAAATCCCAGGAGCTGTGCTGGGTGCGAACTGCACAGAAAGTCGTCCCCGCCTGCAGAGGCTACATCTGGATAAGATGAACACCCGAGGTTATGGAAGCTGCAGAAAGGGAACCTTCACTCTATTCAGGGGGGTCCCGGCAGGTGTGGGAGGGAAGAGATGGCCTCTGATAAGGACCTTACAGGATGCAGAGGATTCTGGAACTGAGAGGTGTTGGGAAGGGTATTTAAGATCGAGGGAACTGCGTAAGTAAAATCATTTGTTGTTAAGTGCTGTGGAGTCGGTTCCGACTCAGCAACCCTGTATAGGGTTTCCAAAGAGCAGCTGATGAGTTTGAACCGCCGACCTTGTGGTTCAAGCCGACTTGCTGCCTAGTGTTTTATCCCACAGCGCCACACCAGGACTCATGGGACACATGAAAATACAAATCTGCTTGGGAAACAGTAGCAAACTGTTCTAAGAGCTTCTTTCATGATCTGAATTTATGTTTTGAGAGGTTTTTATCCACAGTCTCTGACCCTTAGCATTTATTACAAAAGAAAATAATTATTTTCTCCATTTTTGTTCACCATGTTGTTGTTAAGTGCAGTGGAGTCGGTTCTGACCCATAGTGGCCCTATATAGGGTTTCCGAGAAGCAGCTGGCCAGCTTGAACCGCCGACCTTGAAGCTCAAACTGACCTTGCAGTCCAGCGCATTATCCTGCAGTGCCACACCAGGACTCTGCATTACCAGATTGAGTTGATATAAATGATGGATTGGCACAGTGGCAGCAGCAATGGGCTCGCGGGTAGCAACAATTGTGAGGCTGGCGCAGAATCAGGCAAGTGTTGCATAGGGTAGCTCTGAGTTGATACAGACTTTATGGCACCTAACAACAATAACAAATTTGAGGGGGAGGGCAATGAAACTTGACAGTTTAGCTTAGTTTAACCTCTCAAAGTCATAAAAGGGATAAATGTGCATTTTAAAGAATTCTGATTTGGGGACACAGGAGGATAGAGGAGACGGGGCTGACGGTGAGACACCACAGGCTTAGTGTTTGTACTGGACGGAAGAACTGGATTAATCATAAAGCTGTGCCGGTTCACCTTCAACTTTAAGCTTCTATAGACAATGGAGAGCAAAAAACTATAGCAGAATCTTAGGAAGATTCATCTGGAAGTGAGCAAGATTGTTAGAATAAAGTAAAAACAGTAAGCAAGCAGACTGGATAGGAAGTTGTTGCTAAAACTATAGACATGAGATGAAAGCCCAAACCAGGATGGCAACAATGAAAATTGTTGTTGTTGTTAAATGCTGTTGGGTTGATTTTGACTCAAAGAGATCCTGAATAGGATTTCCAAGGGTTTTGTCCAAAAACCTCCTACCGTTAGCATTATAGCTGAAACAATTACTTTCTCCATTTTTGTTCACCATATTGTTGTTGTTGTTAAGTGCCATTAAGTCGGTTCCAACTCACAGCAACCTTGTACAGGGTTTTCAAGGAGAAGCTGGTGGTGAGTTTGAACCACTGACCTGGTGGTTAGCAGTCCAGTGCTTACCTTACAGCACCACACCAGGACTCCACAATGAAAATCAGAACAGAGCAAATGGCTTAGAGTGCAGAAAAATCAAAAGAAAACCAAAAAAAAGTTGGGACCAATTTGACATGGCTTCAGAGGTCACACTAGGGTCTTCAGCTGGGTGAGGAGGGGAACTGAGAGGTTGTTAATACACACAGGGAAACCCAGAGAGGAAGCCAGCATGTTGAGACTAGAGTGGAGGCCCAGGAGTGATGAGTCCGGGGCTAGGAATCTACACTGTAAGGTGTGGAGAAAGGTCAGGGCTAGAGAGACAAGGAGGTAATTGCTGCCAGGGTGGAGTAACTGGAAGCCTTCAGAGCAGGGGAGCGCCCAACAAAGACTACACAAAGGAGAGAAGAGAACTGGGCACAGAAAGTGAAGGATGCCTGCATTTAGAGCGTGAGGAAGGAGGGGGGCAAAGTGAAAGAGAATCTTCCCAAAAAAGCAGGAAAGAGACAGAGAGTGGGGAGTAATAAGAGTCAGGGAAGAAAGACTGTTAGGAGGAGATTCTAGTAATGTTAGAAGGTGCTGGATTTGACAATAAAAAAGTCACCAATGACATTTCAGGACAGTTACAGAAGAGTGATCAAAATGGGAATCAGGTACAAAGGGTAAGGAAATATTGTCAAGTATAGGTTCTTCTTTTGATAACTCTTCTGAAAGGAGAGAAATATAACAGCTCAGAACAATGTATGTAGAAACTATCTCTCACCTTGTCTTTAAGTCCTAATCTCCCTCTTTCTAAAGCTCAAGGGATGAGGGGAACTGGCAAACTGCTCTGATCATGTCTGGTATGAGTTAAGATATTAGAACTAAGACATCGAAGAGATCCCTAAGAGAGGGCATGGTGGGGGAAGCAGCACAGTCTGGACATTTTGAGCTCGAGAAGGATTTGGAGGTTCTGGGGGGAAATCCAAAATAGACATGAGGACACCACAGATGAAAAACAAAAAAGACTGTAATGACTCATGCAGGAATTTATAGTGCACTTTTTCTTTTCCAAAAAAAAAAAAAAAAATGTCACCCAAGCATTTGGTCTCAACTACCACCCATGTGTCAATTTCTCCAGCCCACCTGGATGTTCATTGCAAACTCAATATATCTGAGTAGAGCATGTAATCTTGCTCCCAAAGTGCTCCTCTTCATTTATTCTTTATTGTGAGTGCACTACCATCGCATAACCAGAAACATGGTAGCCATTCTAGATTCATCTCTCATCTCATCTTACTTGACTAATAAAGACATCACCTTTCTAATCGATCCTTCCTCCTTGTACCATTGCCACTGTTATAGTCTTGAACATCATCCCCTCCCACCGGAATTACTGCAACAGCTTCCTACCTCCAGTTTTTCTCCACTCTAATAATCCTTCAGATCACGAATTCCTTAATTTAAAAATAATTCAACACCAGCAATGTACCTTCTCTCTGAAACACAAATCTGACTGTGTCACTTCCAGGTTTAAAAGGCTGATGAATGCCAATTGTCTATATGTCAAGTCCAAGCTCTTTACCATGGAACAGAAGGATGGCCATGACCTGGAGAGGATGCCATTCCAGCTTCATCTCCTCCACAGTCCCTACACACCCAAGCCTACTGCCACTTCCACTGCCTCACTTCCATAGTTCTAACTATTACCTCTGAGTGATGCCCAAATTTGACTGATGCCCTGGACTCTCTTTGGAGGCACAATTCCACAGTTTCAGTTGCCTGCAGGGAATTTCCACTCGAACTTGACATGCCCAATCTGAGCTCGTTGTCTTCTTCCCCAAGGCTGGGAGTGTTCATGACTCCCTTATTTCTGTCTTTCTCTCAGTCAATCAGATTTTTTAAAAACTAAAAGTTGTCTTTACTTTTCATCAATTGGCATGTCAACTAAGCCACTAAATCCCATCAGATTTCTTTTTGTTATTTCTCTCTGTTGTTAGCTGTCATTGAGTCAGCCCCCATTCATAGGAACCCAAAGCATAACAGAATAAAACACTGCCAAGCCCTATGCCATCCACATGCTCACTTATGAATCAGACCATTGTGATCCATACAGTTTTCATTCATTGATCTTCAGAAGTAGATCACCAGGCCTTTCTTTCTTGTCTATCTGAGTCTGGAAACTCTGCTGAAACCAGTTTATCATCATAGCAACACACAAGCCTCCGGTGACACATAGGTGGTGGCTGAGCCTAAGGGGCATTAGGTAGGAATAGAACCCAGATCTCCCACATGGAAGGCAACAGTTACAGAATAAAAACTTGATGGCTAACCACAGTGTCAGTGGCTCAACCCCACCAGCTGCTCCTAGGAAACACTATACACGATCACTATTAGTCAGAATCGACTCAAAGGCACAACAACAACAACTAGGATGCGCTTCTTAAACTCCAATCCAGGACCTTGCATGCACCCTTTCCCTTATCTGCAGTCTCAAAGAGGCAATCTGTTTACATTATATTAGTCCCTGTGCTCTTGTATCAACACCTCAAACAGGTGCTCCTCACTTACTGGTCAGAGTTCAAACTCCTTGACATTTAGGAGGGTAGAAGGAAAAAGAATTAAAGGGCAGGAGCAGAAAGAGATACCCTAAAGAGCAGTAGAAAAACAGTGAAGAAATTCTGCCCAATGGGCCTCATCTTTTCTGTAGAGCTGAAGGGTTCATGTACTCAAAATCAGGTTGGGGTGGGATTGGGCCATTATTAGAAAGTGTTTCAAAGTTCTGGAACTGCACAGGTGCAGGATTGTGAACAAGTACACAGACAGTTTCAATGGCACCATAATGTCCTCATTTTAAAAAAGTAATTAAAATTCAGGTGTTTTTTTTATCGTGTATATTCCTTTATACATTGCAAAGTATGAATATTCCTGAACACTTAATTGTGCTCATGAGGAATCTGTACCTGGACCAAGAAGCAGTTGTTGGAACAGAACATGGGAA